TTTAGGAATCATTTTTACCTGGGAAACTTTCCATTGAGGTGGAACGAAATCAGATGAGAGAATTGCGTTATAAATATAAGTCAGGAAAGTTATTCCTTCTTCCGGGAGCTGTTTTAATATTTCTCCAGTGATCAGATCGTAGCCGAGAGCCTTCTTAGCTTTGAGTTTTTTAATCGCTTCCTTAACTTCAGCTTTTGAGAATTTTTTTATGGGTGGGTCCATTTGGTAGAGTTGTTCGAGAGTCTGTCTTACTTTTTGTGCAGTATTGGGAGAGGGTTCAATTTCATGCGGAGCAAACACATTTTTTAGGTGACGTGCAAATGTGCTTGCTTTGTCGAGATCACTTTTAGCCCATTGGTTGTTTCCCATTCTGATAGCGGGTTGTGCCAGAGTTGGCCTCTTTAATTTTGTTGCTGCTTTCCAGAGGGAATAATCGCTGGCAGCTGTTGCATCTAAGTTACTGAGATAATGATGAAGCGTATTAAATCTTCTTTTGTCTTCGGGATGTCTAGTCTGCTGCCACTTCTTTCCAGCCTGGCGTTTCTTGGTCAGTTTTTCTTTTACAAGAGAAGGGATTCTTGTGCACTGTGATTTGCTTAGAATGGGTGTTGATCTCCAAGCAGCTTGTTGGATGCAGTTATTGAAGTGTTCAAAAGCTGCAATGATATCTTCGCTAGATTTCAGCGAGTGTTTCAAATTTAGTTTTGAAGATATTAAGCTTTGGAAGAGATTCCAGTCAGTTCTGTTGTTGTGAAGGTAACACTGAGAAGTTGAGTCAACAAGATTATTGCTTAGAGTGACCATTACGGGAGAATGGTCTGAGGATAAATCGAAACAGGGATTACATATTATTTCATTATCTCCAATACCTTTAAACACGCAAAAGTCTATTAAGTCTGGAATTTTTTTTGTATCGGTTGGCCAATACGTTGGAGAGCCTGAGGAGGCTGAGTGAAGATTTAATCTTGCCATAGCCGCAAAGAGTTGTCGGCCTTTAGGAGTGATGAGGCGAGATCCCCATTGTGGGTGTTTTGCGTTGTAGTCTCCTCCAGCTAAAAACCTGCTTCCTAGAGTTTTGAAGAATTTAACATAATCTTCTGACTTGATCGCATGCTTGGGTGGGCTATAACTGCTGAGATTGTTATTTGGTCTTTCAAGTCCTCGACAACTATATTAGTAGCTTGGATAGCTTCCGTGCAGTATGAGTTAATATTAAAGTGTTTAATATTGTTTTTTATTAATATAGCTGAGCCAGCATGTGCTTTTTTATCGGGATGCATTGTATGATAGAGTTTGTAATTCGGCATTTGAAAATAGCTTTTTTCGGTGAAATGGGTTTCGGATATTAGGAGAATATCTATATTATTAGACTTGAGTAGCGTTTTAACCTCGAGTACGTGTTTTGATAGGCCATTAGCATTCCACAGGAGAATATTCATGGAATTGTAGGGATACTGGACTTCGTCGTAAGGGTGACGAGGAGATTCATCATAGTTGTGATTTGTTGCATGACTTGCTTGAGAAGCATTATCATTTCTCGCATTTCGCTTGAGGCATCAGAGGCGTTTTCTTTTGATTGAGGGAGAGAGTTACTTGGACTTGGATCTTGTTTGCTTTTCAACATTTGGGAATAAGAAAGTAAATTTCGGGGCGGTTGCGAGACTCGAATGGGTGAAAGTGGAGCTGATTGCTGCTGGCTGACACTTTTGGGATTGTTGTCCTCCATTCTTCTTAATGGTGGGTATTTGAGTTTCTGCAGATTTTTGTACACCAAGCATCCTTTATAGTTTGCTGGATGATTTCCTTCGCATAGAGCACATTTAACATCGTTGGATTTTGTCTTGCGCGAGCAATCTGCAGACAAGTGCGGGCCAGCGCATTTAATACATACCGGTCTTCTACGGCAGTATGATTTTGTGTGTCCATACTGTTGGCAGTTAGCGCATTGCGGGATTTCGCGTTTTGGGCGTGGGGGTTCAAATACAATTTTTGTGTACCACTTTCAACAAAAAAACAAAAGGAAATTGATCGGCAAGTGGTGAAAATGATTGTCAGGGAGTACCATCCGTTCAGCGTCGTTGAAGATCCAGAGTTCAAGACTCTGGTGCATATGCTCAATCCCAGTTATAAACTCCCCACAAGGAAAACTGTGTCGTCCTCATTAATGCAAGCCATTTATAATGAAACTGTGATGACAGTGAAAGCACGTTTAAGCAGAGCATTTGCTGTATGTTTGACAATGGACGGATGGACTTCTCGGGAGCAAGAAAATTTCATTGGTGTCACAGCTCATTACATTGCTGATGATAACAATCGCATGAGTTTAGAGTCGGATTTGTTGACCTGCGTATCATATGCAGAGCGTCATACTGCAGATAATATAACAAAAAAACTGCAAGAGGTTTTGCTACATTGGGAGTTGACTAATAAGGTCACAGCTGTAGTTACTGACAACGCAGCTAATATGAAGGCGGCAGTTCGTGGAGGACAGTGGCGGCATTGGGGATGTTTTGCGCACACCCTAAATTTTGTTGCACAGTCGGGCTTAAAAGAAATGCAAACTATTCTAGATAAAGTAAAAGCAGTCGTGCGTTTATTCAAAAAAGCTCGCATGCATATTCGCAGCTGAAAGGCACCACGGCTCGAATGCAGCTACCAGTCACAAAATTGATTAATGATGTTCCCACGCGATGGAACTCAACGTTGGACATGCTAGAACGAATTCTGAAAATGAAAGATGCCGTGATTGCAACTGTAGCTGTGGTACAGTCATCTGGGCAAGTGAGAGACGAAGTACTAACAAATATTGAGCTCTTAACTTAAATTAAATGAAGAATGGCAGGCAGTACAACAAGCTATGGAAATAATGAAAGTTTTTCGATTCATTACAAATGCCATCAGCGGCGAAAAATATGTCAGTGCCTCGTCAGTAATAGTATACGTACGCCAATTATGCAAACATTTGAATGCTTATAAAGTTGATGACTTAACACCATCTGCACAAAGATTAGTTCTGAAGCTTCTAAATGACCTAAATGTACGATTCAAAGATTTAGAGAAAAACGAACTTATAGCGCAAGCAACTATTTTAGATCCGCGTATAAAAAATTACGAGTTTATAAACAAAAAAAATTATGATGAAGCGCTGCAAGCACTTTACAGGAAAGTAGCAAACACTGTTATTCAAAATGAAATTGCTTTTGAGACAAGCACCAATGAGCAGCAAAATCAGTCCAGTAATGTGCAAAGAGAAGAGTCGACTTCTTTGCTAACTGAGGGTGAAAAGTTTATATGGGATTCGATTGATACCGTGGCTCTAAATTATACGCGTCCTAAATAGTTGCCAGCTTTCATCTGCAATTGTAGAAGTAGACAAATATTTAAATGAACCTCTTTTACCAAGAAAAAATATGCAGGGTATGAGAAATGATATATTACACTTGTGAAAAGAAAGAAAACTTACCTACCCTAAGGCTATACCAAATCGTTAAAACCCGACTATGTATTTCGGCAACTTCAGTCCCTTGTGAACGAATATTTTCCCATGCTGGACAAATAGTTAACGAAAAACGAGAGCCGCTAGATACGGGCAAAATATCGCAAATTGTGTTTTTAAACTATAATTTAGGAAAAGATTTTTAAATAAGAATCCAAAAAAATGTTTGTGCAAATGGCGGCAGGTTCGTCTCTTCGTAATGTGATAGGGTATTATATTTCTTTATTTAATGTTTTTCCGATGAAGTCATATTTTTAGTTCTATTGTAAAAGCGATTAGTTGAAAGGCGCAGTGTGGAAAATGATTTTTTTTTTGGCAAAACCTAATATTTCAAAAGCGCGTACAGTTAACGAAATAGCTTAAACAGTATTTTAAATCTTTCAACATGGATAATTTAGGAAAAAAGTATCGTTAGACAAAAATTTGCCTTAACCTTATAAATTACTGTCAAAAATAAAAGATTTTCGTTTCTTTATTTTTTGACCTGAAAACAGTATGCAATGCGACATGCAAAAAGTATTAAACTTTTTTTTTATACTTATGTCAATAAATCCATTTCCCTTTTAATTTTTTTAAGTTTATTACATGAAGTTTTTAGGTTAAAAACAAAGGAAACAAATTCAAAAATTTTATTTTTGAGGCTCGTACTTAAGGTCAAGGTAATTTTTTACTCAATGAGACCTTCAAAGTGGCTTAAAACCATATATGTAATACTTCTATATTGATAGTAACGTATCTTCACATGTGTTTTTACATATATGCTTAAGACAGTATTTTTTTTGGTTTTTTCCATTTTTTTGACCTAAAACTTCAAGTAAAGAACTTAAAAATAATTTAAATCGAAATAGATTTCTTGACACAAGAATAACAAAAGTTTAAAACTTTTTACAAGGTTCAGTAACAGTAATTTGAAAGGTAAACATAAATTTTTGTCCAACGATAATTTTTTCCTAAATTCTCCATCTTTAAAGCTTTAAAATACTGTTAAACTTATTTTGCTAGCTGTACTTGTTCCCGATATATTAGACTTTACCACAAAAAAGTTAATTTTCCAAACTGGAGGCGACTGTGTGCTTTCAACCGAAAGTTGCCTGCAAACGCGCTCACATAAACATCATATTACCTCAAATACTGCCGGGTGGTGTTTTTATTAATATACATACATTTTGTATCAAACTTTTAATTTATTTTAGTATTTTTAGTTGCATAACAAAATTGCTAAGATTTGTTCCGTGTTGCTTGAAATAAATGTAAAAAAAGTAAACAAAGTGTTATATACCTATTTTTCTTTTTATTGAACCCCGACATTTCTATAGCACATCACTGTACCTAGTAATTAGCCTCTTTCCCTACTCACGATTTAGTCAGAAATAGCCGGAATTCGCTACCGTTTACACATTAATAATATTTTCAGTACTATATTCCGGACTAATTGTGACTAAATCCTGGAGTAAGTCAGGTGGTTTAGTGCAAGCCTTCCCGTCGAGAAAATGTTTACAATAAAATAAGAATTTAGAAAAAATCTCGGTTGTGCATAGGTGAAAAAAATATTTTTTTTTAACGTATAGTTGAAGAAATAAATAAATGAAGGTTGTCATTTTGGGATTTTCGATGTTTTATGCATGGATGAAGATGTTATATATGTCATAGGATAGTCGAGTTTATTTCAAATATAAATAAAACACCAATGGTTGTAGGCTGGCCCTGTCAAGGGCCAAGTATTGTAATTTAGTATTTATTCAAAGTATGTATTGTAGCAGATAATACACAAGCAGATGACTTCGTGGTTGCTTTTCGAATAATTCTTTTTCTTTATTCTCCCTTTTATCTTTACATTGTGTCCGCTTATGTCTATAACAGAGTTGCATATTTAAGTTACGATATAAGATACGATATAATATAATGCAGTATATACACTGAGTTGAGTGGTTACGTTATTACGGATATATTGCTACAATTCGGCCGTCCTGGCTATGAGAGCCCCCGATCTCATTATGCTTCATTAAGCTCCGCGTCCTTTGAACCAAGGTTTCATATTTTCGACGGCCCACACTCCTTTGTAGGGTAACCTAGATTGCTGGAACCCTTCGACATCTTTAAGTAAATATCTATCATTTCGCAAAACTTTTTCAACACGGTACGGCCCTTTAAATTTCGGGATTAGCTTTTTCGATACACCTGCACGTGAATCAAAATTTTTTACCACAACGTAATCACCTTCGGCGTATTTTGTTGGTTCTTGTCTTTTACTGTCTACATAGTTTTTATTATACTTCTGTAAAAGTTCCTGCCGTTCAGCTGCTCTTTCGCGAACACACTGAAGGCTACGATCTTCTAACGACTTATCAACTTCCGTCAAATTTTCTTTCAATTGGTCTATAACCTCGCCTCTCTGATTGACACCAAACAACATTACACTAGGGTGTTCGCCCGTTGCTCTATGTATAGTATTATTTAGAGAATGTTCCACACTCTCTATTACCTCACTCCAATTATTTCCTTTTTCTGTTCCAATCATTTTCGATATCATGGGCCCAAGACTTCTATTCACTCGCTCAACCTGACCATTTGCCTGTGGTGAACCAGTCGCGATCTTTATGTGTTGTATTGAGTATTCTTCTAGGAACTCTTGGAACTCGCCTGACGTGAAACAACTTCCCCTGTCCGATACAATATACTTTGGACGGCTATAAGCTCTAAAGTAATTCTTCAAAGCTTGCTTAACTTCTTTTGTACTTGTTGTCTTTGTTGGGTAAAGTCTTACAAACTTTGTGACTGCATCAATAACAACTAAAATATGTTTTACTGTTTTTAACGAACCATCAACAGGACCAAAGTGATCAATGTGAACGACTTCGAATGGGGTTTTCCCTTTCGGGATACTATGGAGAAATCCTTCTTGTCTTCCACTTTTCGCGGAAAAAGCTATACATTTCAAACAATTTTTTATGTGTTTGTCTACCTTTTTTCTCAATTTAGGGAACCAATAGCTCTTCGATATTAATTCCACTACTTTGTCTATTCCCACATGCCCAACCTCATCATGATATTTGTAGATTACATTGTTTTCCATATCGTGTGGGACACAAAATAAAACACTGCCATTGTTTTTCTTTCTATACAAGACACCATTTCTCATTTCGAATAAACTGTGCTCTTTTTTCTCCAATATATTTTTCCATTTTTTTAAACTTTCGTCCTTTCCTTGGCATATAACTAAATTCTCTTCAAAGGTGTTTGTCTCTAACACCAGAATGTTTGTACAACGGCTAAGCGCATCGACATGTTGCATCCGTTTTCCTGCCCGATGCTCCAAGGTATAGTGATAATTTTGTAATTCTAAAGCCCAGCGCGCAATTCTGGGGTTTAGCTCCTTTTTGTTTAACGTAAGTGCAAGCGAGTTACAATCTGTGACAATCTTGAACGTTTTTCCTTGCAGATACACACGAAACCGTTTTAATGCGCTCACTATCGCAAGAGCTTCCAGCTCAAAACTGTGATACTTTGACTCTGGCTCCGTAGTTCTTTTTGAAAAGTAAAAGACGGGGTGAAGTTTTCCATCACTTTTCTTTTGCAACAAAATAGCCCCCAGCCCTACCGAACTTGCGTCACAGTGTAACTCCGTGTAACCCTTCGGATCATATAGCGCAAGTACTGGGGAGTCTAACAACTTGGACTTCAATAGTTCGAAACACTCTAACTCAGTTTCCCCAAAAGAAAATGTTTTGTTCTTCTTCGTCAAGTCATACAACGGTTTCGCCAAAACAGAAAAATCCCTCACAAACCTTCTAAAATACGAGCACAGCCCTAGGAAACTTTGTACCGTATGAACGTTATTTGGTACCGGAAAATTCTTAATGGCTTCTAAGCCTTTATCATCCGCTCGTATCCCTTTCCCGTCGATGATATACCCTAAATACTTTACACTCGTTTGCAAAAACTCGCATTTGTCAAGTCTCAACTCAAGTTTATTTTGGACAACTTTTTCTAAAATCTCCTCTAAGATTCGAAAATGCTCTTCAATGCCTTCCGTTGCGACCATAATATCATCTAAGTACACTATCACCTTTCCTTCTTTTATCATTTCCGCAAATATACTCTGTATAAACCTTTGAAATGTGGACGGGGCATTTTTAAGTCCAAAAGGCATCCTAGTAAACTCATACTGTCCTAGTGGTGTTACGAACGACGTATATTTTTGAGACTCTGGATGCATATATACGTGAAAAAACCCGTTTTTTAAATCCAGCTTTGTGAACACCCTCTTTTTTGCTAACTGATCTAACAAGTCGTCAATGAGTGGAATCGGGTAATTGTCTTTTACAGTCACCTTGTTTAATATCCGGTAATCAACGCACATTCTAAGATCCCCTGTCTTTTTTCTTACTAACACGATCGGTGATGCGTATTGTGATTCACTTGCTTTGATGTATCCTTTCGCTAAATACTCGTCAATTAACTTTTGTAATTCATCTTTTTCTGCATAAGACAACCGACGTGGAGGACAGTGAAAACACTTCGAATTTTCTAGTGAAAGTTTCATTTCGCATTTGACCAATGGTTCATTAGGACGCGAAGCCTGTACATAGAGTTTTGTGAATGTATCCACAAGTCTTTTGTATACACCATGTGACACATCATGTCCAACCCTTAAATTAAGTTTACAATCACTATCATTATTATAATCAATGAGCATTAACAATTTTTCATCCACATCAGATCTATCATTTGCGCTACCGTAAAATGTTATGTCGACTTCTTTATCGTTTGCTTCATTAACTTCTCTTTTACACTCATTTGTCCTATCCGTTTTTGTTATACACTCATTAGATCTATCATTTTCTCTTTTACACTCTTTTGCTTTATCAACTTCTGATGTACCCTCCCTTTGTAGATAGCTCATTTTCGTTTCACCGTAAAGTTTACTGCTCATATTCTTACTTACAACAACATTACTGCTCCCACCTTTCTCTAATTCTTCCACCTTTTCTTTAGAAATTAGGACTAAGTTACTTGCCTTAAAAAAGTCTCTACCTAAGACTACATCATACCCCATAGACTCGTCAGAAACCACAAATAAGTTCATATCAATTCCTTTTGCTTCGAAATAAACTTTACACAAAACTTTTCCGAAAATTTTTAGCATACTTTTATTTAATCCGAAATAAGAAACAGAAGAAAATTCACGAATTGCGATAGTATTTGGTAGTAAGGATCGTTTGACAAAACTAATCGGGCTTCCGGAGTCTAATAGGCATTCTAAAAATAAACTAGTGTTGGTAGAAGAACTTACAGAAAGTTTTAAATGTCTTACGTATTGGTTTTCTTCAACTGCGTGGATCACCGTCTTCCTCTTCGGACAAGCTGCGACCTTGTGTTCCTTGCTTCCGCAGCTGTAGCAAGCACCTCTCTCCCGCTTTGGTTTTTTGCACTCCGTAGCCATATGTCCTACTGAGTTGCAATTGTAGCACCTAATACCAGCGGCTTTCGACGTACTCGACTTCAACTCCACTCTGCCAAACGCCTGCAAAAGTTGTTCTTTGTTGCTAAAACACTGAATGTACGCTTGCGTCCGTAGGTGCTCGTCTGGAATTCCTTCTATGACGTGATCGATTAATTCACTTTCTTCGATATTGAGTCCACAAGCCGATGCTATTTTATCGTTGTAGTATGTATAAAAGTCCTCTCCTGCTTGCCATTTGCGGGTCTCGAACTTCTTACGGAGTAGCAATTTATTCCGCTGCGGTAAGAACAAGCTTCGCATTTCACTGACTAACACCTCAACATGTTCAACTAAAAATGTTGGCTTCGAATGTAACCAGGCCTGCGCCTTACCTCTCAGCCTATTTGCCATCAATGCGCGAAGTGTATTTTCGCTTAAATTGTAAACGCTGCCAACGCTATTGAACTGTTGGATCCATGTGTTGATGTTAGTGCCTCCATCGTATTCTGGAAGCATGTCTTTTATTATGTCGAAAGGTAGTATGCCTACGTCGGAATTAAGTTCGCCACCACTGTTCGCCGTACTTCCACCACTTGCCTTGTTGCCGGTCTCTACGTTATTTGCTGAGTTGACAAGTGTGCTGCTCATCGACGCATTCACTTCATTGCGGGCGTTTGTTTCGATTTCAACCGTCACACCATCGGCCGCCTTATCGTCGTTTGCTGCTCTGTCGCTGTTTGCTACGCTGTAGCCAACTGCATTGCTAGCGTTGTTCTCTGCCCTATCGCCTGCTTCGTTGCAGGCCCGTTCATTACCGCTACTCGCTGCGTCGCTATTTTCATGGCTTTTTTTGTTGGTATCGCCGCCGTTATTTGGGGTGATGCTATTATTTGCAGTTATGCCGCTATTTGCGCGATTGGAGTGCAATTCCAATATTGTTTGCTTAAGCTGCCAAATCTCTTCCAATAGCGATTCGTTTTGCGCCTTCAAATCAAGATGATCTTCTGGAAGCTCTGGCTCCTCAAGGCACACCTGCTCAATTTCGTCGTCACCATCACCTGGGCAATCGCCACGAATACTTGCCGGAACTTCGCTAAGTCTTAGCGCAAGGGTGCCTTTGTTGCCATGCGTTGGCAAGCCTAATTGTTTCAGCCACTCGCGCAGTTGTTTGGATGTGTATTGATTTGCATCAATGCTCTCCATGTCGACAAAAATATGTAGGCGTCGTAAAAAAAATTACTGAATTTGCGTTGACGTGTAAAAAAAAACTGTTGTTACTCAAGCGTAGATCCGAGCTTACTTCTGAAAATCTGTAGCAGATAATACACAAGCAGATGACTTCGTGGTTGCTTTTCGAATAATTCTTTTTCTTTATTCTCCCTTTTATCTTTACATTGTGTCCGCTTATGTCTATAACAGAGTTGCATATTTAAGTTACGATATAAGATACGATATAATATAATGCAGTATATACACTGAGTTGAGTGGTTACGTTATTACGGATATATTGCTACAGTATTAATATTCAAAAATAATGGAAAAGTATCCGGTCAGTGAAATGGTCACACACGTCTGTATACGTTCAGCTTCGGTCGCTAACTCCTGCTTGTTTCATCTTCTCTGGTCTACTATTCGCTTGTGGCAGGGTTGCATGAAGTCGTACGTGACAGTTCGGCCAATTCTGACATTGGCATCGTCTCGATGTCACTGCTTTCATCTTCGTCGGAATCATGTTCATCTAGTTCGGGCGGTATTATGCACCATGGTTTAATTTTATCCGATGCATATACTGAACAGAACCGTTTTTGCTTGTGTTGCATACNTGCATAAAGTCGTACGTGACAGTTCGGCCAATTCTGACATTGGCATCGTCTCGATGTCACTGCTTTCATCTTCGTCGGAATCATGTTCATCTAGTTCGGGCGGTATTATGCACCATGGTTTAATTTTATCTGATGCATATACTGAACAGAACCGTTTTTGCTTGTGTTGCATACCATCGATGTCTTCGATCAGGTATCTATCGTTACCCAAAACTTTGGTTACCACGTATGGACCTCGGTAACGTATGTCGAGTTTTCGCGATTCGCCCGTTGCTTGCAAGTCGTTCTCGATGACTACTAAATCGTCCACCTGATACACCATAGGCTTTCGATGCTTTGCGTCGAATCGTTTCTTCCACTTCTCTCGCTGTTTTTGCATACACTGTAAAGCTTTCTCGCGTTTATCTGCTATACTATCATCAGTTGCTGCTGCTAAAAGTCGGTTGCGAATGACGTCACGCAACATGAAATCGTAAATTAGTTCATTTGGACTAAACCCAGTACTAGCATTACGTTGGGAGTTTACGCTCCATTGTAATTCTCGTAGTTGGTCATCCCATTGTTTTGCCTGGACACCAGATGTACGGAGAAAATCTAAAATAATTTTGTTGGCTCTCTCCACTTGTCCGTTTGCACGTGGAGTTCTCACTGCAGTTCTAATATGTTGAATATCGTTTTGCTGACAGAATTCGGTGAATTGTTTCAACGTGAAGGCCGTACCACGATCACTTATTATACGGCTTGGTAATCCAAAATAGCATGTCAGCTCGTTGAGTACCTGCAACGCCGGCTGAGTCTTTGTGTTGCGCACAGGTTTTACCACCAGGTATTTCGTAAATGCATCGCTTATGACTAAAGCATATAGATTACCTCTTTTGCTTCGCGTAAATGGACCCAAATGGTCGATATGAAGCGTACGAAATGGAACAGGCTCCACCTCGCTGAAATGTAGTTCGCCTTCTGGCTTGCCCCTTTTGCCTTTGTTGTAACAATAGTCAATGCACGCTGCGATGTATTCCCTGACATACTTTAGCGCTTTAGGGAACCAGAAATGCTCATAGATATGTTGTAAAATTTTATCTNAGTCAATGCACGCTGCGACGTATTCCCTGACATACTTTCGCGCTTTAGGGAACCAGAAATGCTCATAGATACGTTGTAAAGTTTTATCGACACCAAAGTGCCCCATGTCGTCATGACAATATTTCACGACCCGCCATCGTACTGCTTTTGGTACCACATAAAGACGTTTTTCGTTGTACACCTTATACAACCTATTGTTCTGTATTCGATATTCGCTGTTCAGTTGTGTTGCTTGCGTCGATTCGGCTTTANCTGTTCAGTTGTGTTGCTTGCTTCGATTCGGCTTTGCCTTTTAGTACATTAATGATTTCACGTATCTTACCATCTTGTAGCTGCATAGTCAGCAACCAATCATCGGAACTTGTAGTAACCAGCAACACCTCTGAAGACTGTTCAATAGGCGCTCTGCTAAGCGCGTCAACGTGGGACATGCGTACGCCTGGTCGATGTACACAGTCAAAATCAAATTCAGTTAGTCGCATCCACCATCGTGCGATTCGAGGAATAAGTTGAGTTTTCGTTCTTATACTGCTAATAGCTGAGCAATCGGTTACCAGCTTGAAATGCTTGCCCAGAATGTATACCCTAAATCTTGTNTGCCAATACTTCTAACTCATAGGCATGATAGCGAGACTCTGTTTCTGTACACCGTCGACTAAAATAAATAACCGCTTTCCAAGTTTTCCCATCGTCAGTTGATTGGAGTAACACTGCAGCTAGACCAACACCGCTAGCATCAGTATGCACTTCGTGTATTGCATTAAAATCGTACAGAGCGAGCACTGGTTCATTACTCAATGCAGTTATCAAAGTATGGAAAGCAATATCTTGTTCTTCCCCCCAGTAAAATTTTTTAGCTGCTTCTTTTCGTGTGAGGTTTGTTAACGGTCTCGCGATAATAGCATAATTCTTTACGAATTTTCGAAAAAATCCTGTCAACCCCAAAAAACGTCTGACCTCAGTTACAGACACCGGTTTCTTAAACTGTCTAATTGCATTAATCTTCGCTTCACCTGGTATAATACCTTCACTAGTAATTCGATGTCCAAGAAAGCTAAGCTCATTCACCAAAAATTTGCATTTGCTATAGCGCAATGTTAAGTCACATTCTTCTAATAATTTCAGAAATTTTTCTAATATTATTAACCCGTCATCAACCGTACGGCTTGGAATAATTACATCATCCAAGTATGCAATAACTCGGTACGGTTTCATTTTGTCCACAATTTTATTCATCATATTTTGAAATACCGACGGCGCATTAACCAGCCCGAATGGCATGCGATTATGTTCGTAGTGTCCATTATTTGTAACGAATGCAGTATATTGTTTAGCATCGTCTTCCAACTCAATTTGGTGATAGCCCATATTGAAATCTAAAGTAGTATAGTACGTGTTGCCTGCAAGCAATGCAAACAATTCTTCCATTATTGGCATTGGAAATGGCTGTTTCACCGTAATGCGATTTAATTGTCTATAATCTACACACAGTCTATGCTCTTTATTTTTCTTTTCCACTAGGACTACGGGTGCAGCATACGCGGAATCTGAGACACGTATTACGTTTTTTGCCAATAAATCTTGAATTATTTCGTCCAAGATTGGTCTTTTCGCGAAGGGCAATCGATAGGGTTTCATATTTATCGGATTGTAGTTATCGAGCTTAATATTCATTTTGGTAATTTTAGCTTTACCGAGAGTATTAAATCGACCTTCATACGTTTTTAGCACATTACTTAACTTTTCGTTATAGTTTTCATCAAATACGCTCTCAATTATATTTATCTTAGATTGCATCCAACAATCTTCACCGTCAATTACAAATAGATTTCCGTTTGAACAGAGTACGTCTCTGCCTATTAATACATTATATTCAAGTTTATCATCGTCTACAATAAGCAATTTCACGTCAACACACACATTGTCGATCGCGATATTTGCTTTGATCTGTTCGAAACATTCGCATTCACTACCAGCGAAACCTTTTAAATGCACAAAGCATTTTTCCTTCAGATTTTCTTTCAATTGATTAGCGAACTTTCTTTTAACTAGNATACATTATATTCAAGTTTATCATCGTCTACAATAAGCAATTTCACGTCAACACACACATTGTCGATCGCGATATTTGCTTTGATCTGTTCGAAACATTCACATTCACTACCAGCGAAACCTTTTAAACGCACAAAGCATTTTTCCTTCAGATTTTCTTGCAATTGATTAGCGAACTTTCTTTTAACTAACGAGCGAGCACTACCTGAGTCTATTAACGCTTCTGCCACAATGCTATTCACTTCAACGTTTTTCATATATAATTTTTCTTTATTTTCTTCGATCGAGTTGCACTTTGATTTTTGTGAAATTGCCGAAACTTTGCAGTTTTGCAACACACACTANCATATTTATTGCATTTTTCGCACTTCGCTCGTTTTTGTGGCTCAGCACAATTTCGCGAGATATGACCCGTTTTGCGGCAATTGTAACACACTATATTTGAATTGTCTTTAACGTCTTTATTTTTCACCGGCTGCTGCGCAGCTTTTCCGCTTGGTACATCTTGTTTTACAGACACATTGTTTTTGTATGAGTTAAACATACAATAATTTTGGATTGCTCTTAACAATTCATTAGCGCATGCATACGTCTTTACCGACAAGGAATGTTTCATGCNTAACGTCTTTATTTTTCACCGGCTGCTGCGCAGCTTTTCCGCTTGGTACATCTTGTTTTACAGACACATTGTTTTTGTATGAGTTAAACATACAATAATTTTGGATTGCTCTTAACAATTCATTAGCGCATGCATACGTCTTTACCGACAGGGAACGTTTCATGTCCAAGTCGTTAATTCCATTTAGCACATATTTAATGATCGATTGATCATCCAACCCACCCTGTCTGCCAACAGCTAAAACACGATAGTAAAAAGTTTCTGGGGATTCACTCATATTGCGGCGCATACTCATTAATTTCATGTGAATCTCAGCCATGTTTATTGTTGATGGAAATTCAAATAAGAAATCAGTCACAAACTTTGACCAACTTGCATACACTTCTGGTGCAGAGTCCAACCAGAGTTTCGCGTAGCCTTGCATTTTTGTGCTTACATCAAACAACAATAGTTTGTCTCCCCAACCATATGCTTGGCGTAGTTGCTCGATTCTGCCTATGAATTGAACAGATGTCAATTCTTTCACGCTTGGATCAAACGTTGGTAGTATACCAATAACATTTTGTACGCTACCGAACTCAGCATGCATACTTCGTTGTTCGGTTACATACCTACCCCTATTACAACATACACTTGTCGGTGCGTTTGTATTCTGTTGACATGCAGTCATATGAACACTTGTAGGAATATAGTTTTCTGCTTCTATTTGCTCCATATTCGTTGACGAAATATTTGCAAAATGTACTCGTCGTGCAGCATGCGGAATGTGTTGCGCATTCCTATTCGCGCTATATCGTGGCATAGAAATTCCTACTGGATTTTCATATTGAAATGGTAAATACTTCGCTGATTGGAACACATCGCTTGTGTTCATCGTCTCTCTCGAGTCTCGCATAGCTGTCTGCGCATGCGTTATGTAGTTACATTC